TTTTCAAGGCCTGGAAAACCAAAATCCATTTTCCATGACTTTTAATGACTTGTAATGACCGTGGAAACCCTGTGAAATGATAAAAAATGCAGGGATCCTAAAATCTCGTACGAAATCTCGACATTCAAGTTGAAACGAGCGGATGCTACGTGAATAGACTGCTGTAAAAACAGCCTCTATAATGCCGACGCCTGTTTGCAAAGCAGAACATCATGGATTCACGGCGGGGAAAAAACGGTCGCTAAATTCTTCCATGCGAGGTGAGATTTTTAAATCTCTATTTTGGAAAAAATAACGTCGCGTTCAGCCTGATTGCACGTCTAACTTCAAACCCTGCCTTGCTCGGCACCCGGCGACCGACGTCTGCACCCGTAGACGCGACTCTACTCAAACGTGACATCGCCCGACGAGCGACCTCCTCACCTCCTCCTAAAAGGATTTTTCCCGATGTTTTCTTCCGATTTTTTTCTCGGAACGTTTTAATTTTTTTTTTTCCAATTCCGGATTTTACAGGAAAATGTAGCATCACTGGCGACTCCGCTCGAACTCGCCGTCGTCTGTGACCGGACGAGCGACCTCGGTCTCATCACACGCACGCACGCACGCACACAGACATCCTCACCTCCTCCTGAAAGCTCGCCGCCAACGTGTCGGACGCCTTCTCCTGCGTAGACTGCTGCCGCTGGCCGTGCGCGCCGACGGCGACCGCCTGCTGAGGCTTCGGCTGCACGACGGCCGGCTTCGCCGGCTGCAGACTAGACGTCATCGCGACGGGCTTGCTGCCGACGCCGCCGCCGCCGCCGCCGCCACCGCCGACAGACCCCGCCGCAATCTGCGAGGTCACGGCCGCCTGACCCTGCGGCTTGCCGAAACCCGGAGCTGCGGAAGAGAGAGAGCGAAGTGCGTGGCAACAATTGAGATGAGCGCCCTCTACGATACTGAGAGACCCGTGTTAGCTGTCACCTCTATAGAAAGGACGCCTGCCTAAAAAGGACACTTTTGGCACTTTCCCTACGTGGAAGCTACACTTTTAATATATATATATATATAATCATGTCCATAGTGGAGACACGTACCTGTCTGTAAAGGACGCTCTGCGCGTTTCACTTCACCGACCTTTATATACAGGAGTATGCCACTGATATCCTTATACCGCTGTGCATGAGAATGCAGCCGGCTACATTTCCGTTAATATTATAACGTAATCAACTAAGATGACTGACTATACCTGTGCCGAACGACGAAAGCCCTGGAGCGGCGCCCCCTGGTGTCGCGGACGAGGTGGCCGAGGGCGGACGAAACGCGCTCGGCGTGACCGGGGCGCCACCTGGCGAGTCGGCGAGCGACGACAGTGCCGGCGGCGCGGGAACGCTGAACTGGAACCCGTTCATGCCCTTCGTCGCTCTACCCTGCACGCCCGCCGCCGGCGCAGGCGGGGTGACCCCTGCCGCCGCTGTCGCTGTTGCCGGCGGCGCCACAGGGGGCGATGCGAATCCCGACGGAGCGGCGATCTGGGTGAAGCCCCTGCCGGAGGATGGGAACGGGGGCATGCCCGCTGCCGGCGTACCCTTGTCTGCCTCGGCAAAGCTGCAAAACGCGACGGGATGACGCGGCAGATTCAGGGCGGTGGGAACGTCTCGATGATCGCGTTTCTCACCATACTACCGACGACGGAAGCTGCTGCACGAGATCGTGTACACCCAGTAGATCCTAGCTTCTAATAATTACACACGTAAAATATATGCTAACCTTGACCTTACATACCGTGTAAACAGATTTGCCTTCGGTGTCTCGGGAAACGGCGACGTCGACGACGTAGGCGAGGCGGCGGCGACGCCCGCCGACACTCCGACCCGCTCCCCTGCGACGCTCAGCGGCTCGACGGCGCGCGTCATTAAGGGGGCGCCACCGGCGGCGGCGTACGTCATGCGGAACGGGTTGAGGATGCCGGCCGTCGAGAGAAGCAGGAAGACGGGCATCGGTGGCGTCGTGCGGCTCTCTCCTGCGGACGGGAGGGAGGGGGGGGGGAAGATGAAAATTATTCGCATTTACTCTCTGGAAGAAAGTTCAAGAAACGCAAATGTAAGGCACGGCTGTTTCGTTCAGAAATCGCGGTTTTTAGAATGTTGTTTTTTTTCTTTCAAATTTATGCTTTAAAGTGAAATTGGTCTCTCTCTCTCCTCTCGCTCTCTCTCTCCCCTCCCTCCCTCCCTCCCTCCCTCCCATCCCTCCCTCTCTCTCTCTCTCTCTCTTCTCTCTCTCTCTCTCTTCTCTCTCTCTCTTCGCTCTCTCTCCTTCTCGTTCTCTCTCTCTCTCTTCCCTGCTCCTCTCCCTCTCCCTCTCCCTCTGCCTATCTCTCTCTATCTATCTACTCTTTTATTATATCTATCTATCTATATATATATATATATATTAGTATAATATGTATGGAAATAATATAATATGAACATACGTTTAATTTCAGCTTACGGAGACGATTCATTTCTGCCTGATTATTCGTGTTAAACAAGGTGCATTATTGTTTTATTATTTTCAACACGAGCATTATAGTGTGTGCCCTCGAGCGAATTCGAGTTAGACGCAGCATATTGGCCGATGAGTGCTTGACGAAACTGCGCGTGAGTGCTCTCGCATCTGCTGACCCTTTGTGTACGTAGACGCGTACTACACCAGGCACCCATCAACGTTGTAGGTCGTTCCTATAACGGGTCGATGAAGAAAAAAAGCACTGTCGCTGAAGACTGTCGGCTATATTATGATGAACTAATCTAAAGTACTGGCGGTAAAGTTTTACATTTACCACTATATAAAGCATGGGATATCCGCCTTTATTTATTCGTAAAAATAATTTCGATTTGTTGCATTTTCTGCAAACTTGGTATCGTCTACGCGATATTGATTTGTGTACGTCGTGCGTAGATTTAGTAGCAGCGCGCATGCTTGCATTACGGTTGGACTCTCCCCCCTGTCCCTACCACATCACATGCTGCATGTCACACATACATGCTGCAGTCACACATAGATGCTGCAGTCACACATACATGCTGGCAGTCACCATACATG